CCAGGCTCAGTGTGAGCGGCCATCTGCTGAGGCTGACTTATAAAAGTTACTAGGAAAAGAAATCAGTCTCCTTATCAGAAGAAGGGAGCTTTTAAATGCTCCAGAACATTCTAGTGGATGGTTGTGTTCAGAAATCCTAGCGGACCAGAACCAGCAGATGATGGGACTTCACTGAGGGAGCATCGGTCTGGAGTCAAAGCGATGTGGAACCTGAGTCTCGCCGCTCTTCCTCCAGACTCTGGAACCTTGATTTCCACATGAAAACTTTGAACCACTGAGCAAAGTTCCTGCTCTGGTTGAGGAACAGATTAACACCTGGAACATGGCAGCTGTAGTCCATGTTCTGGATCTGCCTCCTCATGAATCTGCTCTAAACCCTCCAATGGGCTCAGCCTGACCTTTCCCAGCTGTTATTTAACACACTTTTTCCTTTCACCCGACCTTCCATTAATATGGTTGAATATATGCTGTTAACTCTATGAATTTTTATGGCTTTTATGAGTTTCTTTTTTTTTTTTAAGAACGTAATGATTAAAAAGTATATTTGAACTAGATGGAAAACATTGCTTTGGCATTAAAAGGAGCAATAACTGAAATTGCACCACTAGGGGCGCTGTTGAGCGCTGTCTGTAAACCAAAACAACACATTTTAATCAAACTTTCTCTCCAGCTAAATAAAATAACAGTTTATTTTGTTTTACTAATAAATAATAATAATGAGTTGATCAATTCCTCCTGTGAAGTTTAGACACATTACGTCGACTGTAACATAATCTACTACTCCATTTATTGCATTAATATATTTATTTACATTTTATTCAATTGTTTGCCTTGTTTCATCATTTTGATTTTAAATGTGAAAACAAAAAGATGGGTTGGTGTAAAGCCTCTGACTGATTACATGAAGCAGAGGCGGCTACCTGATCACCCTACAGACTGGAATAAAAGAATCAGAAAATCTAAGCACCAGTTTTCTGAGAGAGAACGTTCTGAATGTAGGTGAGCATCATGGTGGCCAGCTCACCAACTGCCAGGCTGCATTTAGCAATGCTAACTGTGTTAGCTCGGTTAGGTTCAATCAGATTAATCCATTATTAAAGTAATTGTTTACTAATTTGGTAATCGATTAATCGTTAATAGAAGCATAGAGACTAAAGCTGACAGAATGAAACACTTAGAGCAGAAATTCTACCAAAATAAAGAATTACATTTTGCATTTAAGTTAAATGAAAAATGTTTTTTTATATCAATATGCTCTATAATCCAGACCTGTTCCAAGTGGAAGTTTAACTTTCACTGGTTAGAATTATGAAAAAATCTGCTTTTAGGAAGTTGACAGATTAATCGATTAGAAAATGATTGTTAGTTGCAGTTCTAGAGGCCTTGTTATGGAAACAAGACTGGAGAACAACCTAAAGAGATGGTGTGTGACGTCTCACCAAAGTCCGTCTGAAAAGATACCTTTAGTTCTTCACAAAGATGTTATTATCTAAAATGATCAAGTTTTGCTTATTGCTCCTTAAAGGCAAACATTAAAGTTTCTCTCATCCTAATAAAAGGTTAACTTTGGTTAAATGACCCAGTAGCTTTCTCCAGATTCAGACGGTTCTGTATGTGAGCAATGATCTGATGATGAACTGTGATTGGGCAGCATGTGGCCAGGCGGCCGGCGGCGTGGAGGACGAGGGAGAAGCCCAGGCTGGCTGGATCGAAGGCGCCGCCATCTTGTTCTCGGTGGTCATCGTGGTCCTGGTGACGGCTTTCAACGACTGGTCCAAAGAAAAACAGTTCCGCGGGCTTCAGAGCCGCATCGAACAAGAACAGAAGTTCACGGTCATCCGCAAAGGTCAGGTGATCCAGATCCCTGTGGCCGAGATCGTGGTGGGAGACATCGCTCAGATCAAATACGGTGAGGAACAGAAGCGCCTCCTTCTATCGGTTCTTCCTGCTTCAACCACTCACAGTCAAGGTTCTGTTAACCAGGACTAATCCTACAGCTTCATCAGAACTTCTGCTCGCCAACCAGCCAGCAGATCAGAACCAGTCCTTCTGGTACCAAACCGCAGGACTTTGATCAGTTATACTAAACATTTGATTCATGAATATTTTAGACCTGAAATAAAACCACAAACCAGTACAAAGTTCTGGTGAAGACAGTTCCATCTTACTGACGGTAAACTGAAGAAAAGCTTCACAAATGAAGGAAATAACTGAAATCAGCAGACTTTAGGTTCGGGTTCTGCTGACTGGTTCTGACCCAGCACAGCTCACCAGTCTGCAGTGATGTTTAAAGCTTTGCAGGGAGACTTCTCTGTTCAGGGCGGCCAGAATCAGGCTGACTCCAGCTGATATGGACCGATTATGACTGGACGGGTTCTGTTAATCAGCAGCACAGTTTAAGATTAAAGCTTCTACTGCCTGTCTGGACACAAAGTTAAAGAAGGAAAGCATCATTTCTTTCAGGGTTTCTGCTACGAATTGTTAAGGAAATCCTGCTTTTCCAGAAATGATCAGTTAAGAATCAGAAAGTTTTTCTCATTATCAATTAAATGAATGCATAAATCCCATCAGAATCCTGCATATCTGAGTTAAACCGGGTTTAAAGTCTCGGTTCCATAAATCCTAGAATAGTTCTGCTGCCAGCAGCAGCCCTGACCTCTGACCCCCTCCTGCAGGAGACCTGCTGCCAGCTGATGGCATCCTCATCCAAGGCAACGACCTGAAGCTGGATGAGAGCTCCCTGACCGGAGAGTCCGATCAGGTCCGCAAATCTCTGAACAAGGACCCCATGTTGCTGTCAGGTGAGTGAAACAGTCACACAGCTTCAGAGCTAACGTTTGGTTTTACTTCTGCAAACATCCCAAAAGTGCTGAAAATACGGTGTTTCTGTGAACCTCTCCTCAGGGACTCATGTGATGGAAGGTTCTGGTAGGATGGTGGTGTCGGCCGTCGGACTCAACTCCCAAACTGGCATCATTTTCAGCCTGCTGGGCTCCAGCGAGCACGACGATGAAAAGAAAGTCAAAAAAGGTAAGATGTGGAAAAACCAAAAGATGAGATGAGACGTAGGAGTTTGTAGGGAAGCTGAGAGGCCCGAATGAGCTGTTGGTCCGGTTCTGGGTGGTTCTACTGAGCTCTGGGAGAACGGATCAGGTTTTCTTCATCAGCTTGTGTCGGTGGGAGGGACGACCGAAGCGTCACAATCAGGTCTCCCATCATCAGCCAATAAATGAAACCTGTGAATTCTGGGAAACAGAACTTTTACAGCTCGGTTCTGTTAAAACCTACGCAACTTTAAGATTGAGCAGAACCTCAAAGTTTGGTTCCAGGAGGTGTTCCTGTCAGCTGAGAGCAGAGCTGATGCCGTTTCAGGTCAGATGCAGCTCTGTTAGTCGCCTCAGTGGTCTGGCTGTTGAGCCCCCTGCCCAGCAGGCTCATGAACCGTCCTGTTTCCCTTACAGTCGGGTTGTTTCTTGCTAAAAATGAGCGTTTATAGCCCCAGAGATCTCCCTGCTTCAGCTCCCTTCCTGGAAGCTCATCCAGAGTTCCTGCATAGAAGATCTTTGTAAGGAGGTCTCGCATAGAGCAGACTGGCTTCCTGTTTACCTGCTTAACACAGAAGGACAGTAATTTAAGTTAAGATCATGTTAAAATCATGTCTCTGCTTTCAAAAACAATAGAAAAGTCAGGTATTTCATCATTATTAGATTAATGTCCCACAAGAACCTGCTATTCATCCTTTAACAGATGGATGAGAGCTGAGCAGGACTTTTCAACATCCTGGTTTCATTTATTTGTGGTGATTAATGGAGACAGAACTGAGCTTCTTCTCTGGTGTAGATTCTAGACGCAGAGCCATTTTAACGCTCACAGTCGGTTCTGAAGAGACCCAGCGATCCGATTGATTTCCATCCTGCCAGCCCCTCCAGTCGGCCTCGCTCTGATCTGCTCGTGATCATGCTGACTCCCGTTTTCTGAGTTTGTTTTCGTCTGATCATTTGTTTTACTGGTTAAAGTTTGAGTTTGTCAGGCATTCATTGTGAACCGGCTGAATGTACGAGCTCAGCGGAGAGAGAAAGCCCCCGGTTTATCTGTCAACTCAGATTAACATGTTTTCGGGGGGAAATTGGGGGGAAAATCCAACAAACCTAAACAGGATCCTGCTGGGGAGAACCAGTGCAAAAATGTCAGATTTTAGACAAAAATGAACTCAGACCCTCAGTCTGAGGAGATCTCTCTGGTTAAACAAACATGGCTGCACCGCCGCCTTCTGCTGCTCATAATGCTGATGACGGCAGACACAAACCAGACTAAAGGCTGCAGCAGTCAGTGAACACACAGGTTGATTCATGTTGGGTCACATCCACGCATTTTCTTAGAAACACCACACACACCCATTGTGTGGTAGTTCAACACTATTATTGTAAAAAACCCCAAACTGCTTTCTAAGCTCCTCATTCCTCCACAAACATACAGCTTCACACCATCAGGTAAATCCTCCTGGAGAACTTTTTTTAACAGCCCTTACCTAAACTACATACACTTACAGTTCAAATTTGCAGGTATACATAAATACATATCCCAAGTTTAATGAAATTATACTAACAAATGTACCTTATGGGACTGAATTGGTCCAATATAAGTTTACTTTGAAGAATACTTAAAGTAGTCCTCCAGGTATATTAACATCAAACACTACCTTTCATTTATAAAAGTTTACTGAAAATAACCTTTAGGTTTACTGAATAGCGCAGCTGTAAATATTAAATTTATGTTCTATTGTGTATAAAATGTTTCCATTTTGACAACTCTGATACCCGAAGAACAGTGGGATTCTTTATCGGGGGGGGGGTCTTATTTAAAAAATATGTCACAGTCAGTCCAAAAAATTTTAAAAAGCAATCCACTGGAATTTTGAAGATGTTTTTCTTCACATCCAGGAAGGTTTTTCAATTCAAAATGTCAGAAATAGAGTTGAGTTCAAAGATTTATACAGTAGCCCAACAAATCCTTGTTTTTGTTCAGAAAACATGCAAATTAAAACAGACGAATGGGTCCGCACCTTTAGAACGGGGGTCGTTTGTTTCTTAGTTAGCATGCGATACCCGATACCGGTCTGTGTCTCTGAAAGGGGGATGTTAGAAGGACCCCAACCCCATGCCGGGGCACAGAGCACCTCGCCTGTTCAGCCAGGTCAACAATTCCCTCTAGCAACGCCCCTTTCAGAGACAGACAGGTATGGGGTATTGCCAGCTAACAAAGAACCCAACAATTGCCCATTCCTAAGGGCTGGACCCTTTCATCCGGTTCATTTAGCATGTTTTTTAAGCCAAAACAAGGCTTTGTTTTTGGTCCAATCTATAAAACCTCGAACTCAACGCTGTTTCTGACATTTTAAATTGAAAAAGCTTCCTGGATGGGAAGTGAAACGCCTTCAAACTTTGTTTTTTAACTTTTTTGGAATATGAAACAGTAGATCACAAATCAATCACATTTGTTTATTTAAACAGATATCTGATGAATAACTGCTCACGAAAGTGTGTCAGCAGCTATGTGGCATGGTCTAAATTTACACCAGGCGACACGAACAACTTAGCTAACGTTAGCCTTCCTGTGTTTACTCTGTAGCTTCTGCTTTATCAACCCAGAATGCAATGCAACCTCAAAAGCTGAAAGATATACTACAGAAAATACAAGTTTGAAGTAATTATACCAAATTAAACCAAATTTTAGGGTTAATAGGAAAATTTAGACCAACTTCTTAAGCTGGATTCAGGTCCTTTTAAGCTGAATGTTGCATTTTATCTATGAATTATTTTAAGGTAACTTCCATCAATCAACTTGGTAAACTTGGGCTATATGCTGGGATATATATTGACCAAACTTTAGTATAATTTAAAATAGGAACTTAAAATAAACCTAGTTTTGGTAACTATACTCATAAATATGTGGTATAAATACTTAGTTAAGTATATATACTTAGTACTTCACTGATGAATATATTACAAGTAGACTGAAAGTATATTTATCCATTTTAAGGTTTAGAGATTAGTATATATGTGTGAATATTCTAATTTGGTTAAGGAGAAGATGTAAACTGGAGCTTGATAACCGGGGTGGGTTCACTTTAGCCCCCTCATGTGATCCACATGTAGACGGTCCACAGAACCCTTCCTGACCCACATCTGACCCATTTTCTGGTTTTCACAGCAGTTAGAGATTCTGATCAAAGACCCTTTTATTTCCCAGTCCTTCTGAATGGTTCTGTTGTTAAACTGTGACCCAGAAACTGGATCCTAGATCTGCAATCCATCAGCAGGAAGGTCGCCATGCTGGAAAACATGAACTAAGTGCAGCCGGTTCTCAGCAGCGGGGAACCTGGGGGGGCTCTCTCCTCCGACCCGTCCATTCCCGCCCACAGCACACACACACGACACACACACACCTGTGGGTTTGATCAGTTTGAATTTTGTGTTCTCCCTCAGTTTGTTTGGATCTTTTCCTTTGAGCCATCTTATCAGCATTCCGCCCTCTCTCTCTGTCCGAACAGGTAAAAAACAAGGACCCCCCGAAAATCGCAACAAAGGTAACCCCTCCATTCATCCATCTGTCTCTCCCTGTCCCATCAACCCTCCCACCCCCACCCCCCCTTCCTCCCGCCCAGCAGCAGGAGGGGCGTCTCCTGACCATCTATCTCTGTCTCTCTCGCTGCTGTCTCAAGGGGGGCGTTCTCTCGCTTGGCTTTACCTGACCAAGGGTGCAACTCTCAACTTCCAGGTCTTTGACAGCCGGTCATCCACCACTGTTCCCATGGTAACCACTACAGAGTGATTACCTCAGATGATAAATTATGAGTGAAAACTCACTTTAATCCGGTACCAAATTCAGTGCAGCTAATGTGAATCTCCTGACAGCTCACCCTGCGCAGCCAGTGAAGGGAACCTACGCTGGAAGCTGTTCTTCTTCTTTGGTTTAGTCGATGAAAACCACCAATGTTGGTGTTTGGATCAATGCATTTTAAATCAAAAACAAAGGAGGTCAATGTTGCTCCATCAGCCACCAGTAACCGTCATCAGCTACACATAAAACCTGGAGCGGAAACATCTTATCGGCACAAAAAAATACAAAAATACCTCCTTCACTTACACCTCACACCTTCACCCCTTTGCTTCCTGCTTACACTTCAGAAAATTCTCATCATGTCGCTGTTATAAACTTGACTTCCTGCTGGGATGTGTGCAGCTCTGCTTAAAGGACATGACTGCCAGTTTAACTCCTCCCAGCCAGTAGGTGGCACAATCATGTTCTCACTCATTTCATTCCAACCTTAAAGGTATTGTGGAGGATTTTTGCCAATTTTTGAAAAGCCCCGCCCCCTCCACTTTAAAAAAAAATAAAAATAAAAATGAACATGCGCAGTCCTATACCCGCTCCCTAGAGGGAACGCCTATTAAACGCGTGTGAGAGCGTGCAGCAGCCCATTTCTTCTCGTGCACGCTCTGTTTAAAAGTTGCTGTTCTCATAGCTCATACAGGCCTACTGTGTCCGAACGTCCCTCAATCACTATATAGAGCGGGGACTATATAGTGGACTTTATAGCAAACTCAGTTAACTGACTATTTGGACAGATTACTACTTTTTGCTTCCTGTTTGTCACCTAACTCCTCTTCCACCGAGCGGTGCCTGCGCCATCTTTGTTATTAGTCGCCACTGTCAGGTAGCAACAGCCTATGGCGACAGCCGGCCGCTGTGCACTGGAAAAACGACCTAGAAATAAGTAAAATTTTCTTAAATTAAGTGTATTTACCCTTAATATGAGTAGGTAAATGAGACAGTTTGCCAATGGAATGAGTATTTTTACTCTTAAAAAATATGCACTTATTTTGAGAAAAAAAACTTATACAGATTTAGATTTTTTCCAATGTGACAGCAAATCCCATAATGCTTTGTGAGGAGAGCTGTCTGTGCAAAGCATTCTGGGATATAGCTACCTTTTTTTCTCATACACTTCGTAGGCACCTCGACCCTTTGCAAAGAACCTTGGTGAGAAAGGTGAGCTTCAATGACTGAAACAGTCGCTCTCTAATTAAAATCTAGATAACTCATTTTTTTCTTAGAATAAGTGCATTTGTTCTTAAATTGAGGAGATTAAAGAGACATTTTGCCAACAGAACAAGAAAATTTAGATTTAAAATAAGAAAACACAACTGCATAGTCTTATTTTAAGTGCATATTGTCTAATTATCTTATATTAAGGGTAAAAATACTCATCCCATTGACAAATGATCAAATTCACCTATTTAAATCAATGGTAAACACACTTAATTTAAGACATTTTTACTTATTTCTAGATAATTTTTGGAGTGTGTATGCCTGAAAGTGTGCATGCACAGAAAAAGATGGCTAACGGCACGCGCAGAAATCCTTACGTTAACCTATCACCGGATCCTAATGCATGCTAGCCGGAAGGAAATATTGAATGTATTTTGAACCTTTTAAAAATTTTAAAACAATTATTACAATACTTTTTCTCAGATAAACTAAAACTGTTATTCTGCAACACTAAAGTCTTCGTGAATAATTGACAAATTAACCGTTTTGATAGAAAAGGTGTGGCTCTGACCTTTAAAGTTAATATCTTGGTATCATCTGGATTTATTTGGCGGAATGAAAGATATCACCACGTCTGTAATCTGCTCATAACTATAATAAAGTTAAATTATCTGATGTAGTTAGAAACACTAAACCTCACCTAAGCAGCAGCTCAAAAGCAACACTTTGCAGCTGTTTATGTCATAATCCAGCGGTAGACATGATCTACAAGTTCCTCAGCTGTCTGGCTGCTGAGTTTGTATACGAGAGTGACGGATAAATCTGTAAAAACAAGGCAAATAGATAAATCACTTTGACGTACCAGACTAGACCCCCAATTTAGTGACTGAGAGAGCGAGGCGTTTCATTAGGGAAAACACTCATTGCAGGCTGCAGCTGTAGCTTTATGATAAATACAGTTTAATCTAACGTGCAACTTTGTTAAATGATCCATATTTAAAGTATACTGTGTCATATAATGACAGTTTTGAAAGAAACCTTGCAAAATGGCAGCGCAGAGAGGAGTTTAGAGGCTGTAAAATCATAAATAACCTGCCAAACACAAAGCACTGAGTTGGAACAGCTGACAGCGATGTAGAACAGGTAGAAGTTTACGATTGATTACACCAGCAGCCTGTCAATGTTTGTTTTTGTTTTTTAAATGAAAGCTGCATTTCATATTTTTAAGGTAAATAGTATAATTAACCTTATAAACCTTTTGTAATATGAAACAGAACTTTGATAAAATCAGTATTTAAGTTTTGGATGATCAGAAAAGAGATCAGAAGTAAACTTTCTCAGCTGAGCGACTCGCAGAAAAAATTTATAACTAAACTGAGGAAGAGGATGAAAGTTTGTCAACCAAACCACAGCATCTGTCATATTAGAGAAGTTTTAATATCCAGAGCCGAAGTATCTCATTTAGGCTGACTAAATGCTAAAATGTTTAAATGTTGTAAAAGTTTTAACCTCTCATCCACATCACCTCAAACCAGAGCTCCTGTCTACTGATAGAGCAATTCCGAAAAGGAAAACTGTCACTTTTGGAGGTCTTTTCGCGTTTCTAACTGCACCTCAGATAACCTGAAACGATCTGCAGGGATACGTGAGGTGGAGAAAACGAAACTGACATTTAATTTCTGCTCTAGCAGATTTTTATTTAGCTTGTAATGCATAACGTGAATCTTCTGTCTGTTTCTGTGTCAAAGAAACTCAAGTTACTGCAAGTAATGCAGCATCTCTATGATGTGGTTCTGATTCTACTGGATGCATCATGTGGTCTGCGGCAAAGACAGCCTAGCAGACATTTTGGAAATGGTCTGTGGTACGAGCTTCATAGCTAAGATGGACATACGCTCCTCTGCTGCTATATGCTGATGCTCTGCCTGCACTCACCTCAGCATGCTGAAAGCAGCTCCAACAGCAGAGCAGCCAAAACTATTTTCTAATCTGTTCAGCTCATAATTATGAGTGCTTTTAGCCCAACCTGGTGTATTGGGAAACAAGTATTCAGCTATTTACTCCAGTTAAATAAATGATCAATGGGTTTTACTCAGTCGACACTTTATTAATCATTTTTGCAAAGAGAGAAAAGTTCATCATACAGCTCTTATTGCACAGTAATCAACCCTGTTCTGCCTGGGCAGCGTTCCATCCCCCTTAGTTACAATAATGGAAAGTTTTCAGAGTCAAAACAAATTAGACACTTTGGTTAAACATGCTATGTTATGAACCTTGAGAAAGAATCTGGCTTGATATGGGAAAAAGGTATGTCTTGTCTAAAAAAACACCCTCACAACAAAACTTTAACAGTGATTAAATAGCATAAATTATTATAAGAAATAAGAGAAATTTTCCAACCACACTGTGCTCATGTGTAATAATTTTTAAAGTCGAACATTTGGTTGGATGAAAACGGTTTTCCAGCTGCTGCAGGGATTTTCAGGCAAAGATGAACTCATCATGCATTCATCTCCATTTTTACTGCTTTAATGTGGAAGATGAAAATGGATATAAACATGGAGAATTATAGCTGCATAAGCAGCTGGTTCTACCTCATCCCGTCTGAAAGATGAAGTTCTTTGAATCACAACCTTCAGGTTTAACGCAAAGGTTCCTGTTTAAAATGGGAAAGAATAGAAGCCATTGGTTGGTTCACTCTGAGCTACCAGCCAGTGGTTCTGTTTAAGTTAAATGAAGGCAGCCAAAGACGGAGAGCATTTATACAGGAGGAGATCCAGAGGAAAGAAATTAAGCTAATGAAGACCTTTTAGCTTTTTATAAAGGAGAACTCAATATATAAAAAAGAAGCAACTGCATAAAAGCGTGTTCAAATCTTTAATCTATTTGTCACAGTTTTTCATAAGTGATCCAACAAAGTTAAAGAGACAGATTCTTGGATCTGAACCCGATATTAAAGGAAAAGTCCCATCATATAACTGATATGTTTGAGGTGAATTCATGAATTTAGGGTTAATGGGTATAAAAATAAAAATTGTCGTTGCAATCACTGAGTCAGGGAGCGGCCATTTTTGCCCAAATATAGTAGCCCCTCCCTCCTGCCATCTTCCAGCAGTGACGTCACGGTGCGGTAAGCCTAGCGCCATTCTCCCCGCTTTACAAGCTAAATCAATGGGAACTACTAGACACATCTGAAATCAACAACAATTATTGAAGATTTCCAGAGGACTTCACCATTGAAATTCACCAGAGCTATAGTGAAACTGACAATGCCCACGTGCATGGCAGCTGGATGCTGGAATACATCGGGTAAAAGTGAAAAAAAAAGAGTTATTCCACCTTTCTGAATCCTGATCCTCCACGGACGGGTTGGTCGTTGGATCGCCAACTTGAAGAGGGAGGATTTGCCATCGAACTTCTGGCCAGAGAAAAAAACACGTCCAAACACATCCAGGATGACTTGGATAATGGCGCGTTGTGACAAACACCAGATACAGCACTGGGACTTGATCAACAGCCGATACCGCACGGTGACGTCACAAACCAGTAGGTGGCAGTAGTGTTCTTTGACAAACATGGATGCCTCCAGTAAAGCACATTCACATGAAAATTACTCTGAATTAAAAACACTGATCATTTATTTGAAAGTGTGTATTCATTTCAGATTTAAAGCATTTTTAGAAGTTTATAATTCTGAATATGAGCGACTTTTCCTTTAAAGGAACCAAAAGATTCAGAACAACTCAGGGTTTCAGACAGTTTGTTCTAGAGGTGAGAAGCTGCCTGGGATCACAGAGTAAGCCGGTCTGACCAGCTGATGGGTCAACATGCTTCATTCAGGACCAGTAACCCAGAAATGGATTTTGAACCGATACCAGAACAGTGTTGAAGTTTGAATCAGCGAAGAAACAAACAGATCCCGGTTTGATAATAGATTAAACAGATAAACGCACCCTGCAGAAGCAGCTTGGCTAGCGAGTACTGAACCATGAGATTCCTGTTTCCATCGACGACGGCGGGTGGTTTAATGATGTCATCGGGTTCTCGTCCAGAATGAGCCAACTGTCCTCCATTTTCCATGCGATCCAACACATGTCCAGCTTCCTCTGCAAGCTGCCTGAGATCCCGCTCTGTGACGCACGCACCCGGAGCCGCCCTCCTCCCGGCCTCCTGCGGTCAGAGCATCTGCTGCAGACATGTCCCAGGAACTCACGGATCATCACGCTTTCACAGATCCGCAGCTCTGAGCCGTCTGGTGATAGAACTCACAGCATTGTCAGGTTTCCCTCTTTAGAATCCTGTTTTTCTTCATTTATACTCTAAATAGTGCCGGTCCCGCCAGCGGGGGGAATAAAACCAGGAACCACGCTGATAGTACGGCGTCTCCTTCACTGGGTGAAACAGAAAGCAGTCACATTTAGCTGGGGTTCTGGGGCCGATCTGGACCCGCCTGTGTGGGAGTTGCACCCTTCCAGTGTTGGTGGACCACTGTAGCACCTGTCCTGTTTGTGTGCCTTCAGTTTGTTTGTTTTCCAGCTGTTTCCTGCTCTCACCCCCTCCCCCCCTGCGGCCCCTTCCAGGGTCGCCGTGTCTTCCTCACTCTTCTCTCTTCCTCCTGTCTTGCTGCAGCCTCCTCTTCCTCTGTCTCTGTTCTGCATCACTGTGGTTCTTCCATTTTGTTCGGGGTGATCCTTTGAGTTCATCTTTGGTTTGTGGAGTTGCTTTTACTTTTGTCAGACACGCCTCCTCTTCTGGCCGCCGTGCGTTCTCCCATGGTTCCGTGCTGCGCCTGTTTCTGGTTCTGTCGTTGGTCCGTGGGTCTCAGTCCTGTTCGTGTGAAGCTGTGCCAGTTAGTTCCGTGTTGTGGCTTGTTGTCAGAGTGGACCATGTGCATAAAGCTCCACAGCTTCCTGGTTTGACCTGCGACTCATTCCCACATCTGGAATGTTGAATGTCCTGTGTTGTAAAATGATGCTTTTGTGTGTGGGGGATAATTATCAGTCCATCAGAAGGTTTTGCTGCAGTTAAGGTTCTCCATTAATTTGTCCAAAAATCAGCACCTTCATAGCAGCTGAAGGTTTTCAGCAGAAATAAATCAGCGTTTATCTCCTTCAAGTTAGTTTCAGCGTTTTGTTTTGATGTTTGCTGAAATCTGTTAAATCAACAGGAGATCAGATTAAGCAGAATTAATAAGAAATGGAGCCTCTATCAAATCAGGTCTAGAATAAAGTGTCTGAAGCAGGAAAAATCCAGATTTTAACCCCAGGAGGAAATAATGTAACCACAAGTTTTATTTTCCAAATGATTTAACGTCACTGAAGATTCAGCATCAGTCCTGAAACGGAGGTTGGTACCAGAGAATCAGAGGTTTGTTCAGAGACGTCCTGCAACCGTTTGGCTTAAAAATATTAAAAATGGAAAGCTCTTGTTTTTTTGCAACACAGTGATCAATAAAACACTGATGCAGTGGGTCCAGTATTCACGGATCTGTTGATGTAATCGACCCAGTTTCAGATGAGATGATAACCAATCGTGACCCCTCCCCCCCGCGCTGCCATCAGCTAATCATAGCAAGGCGGGGCAACATCAGCTGCAAACCGACTTTAGATTTAAACGTAACAGTAACGCAGAATACAAATAAACACACATTTTCACTGGGCTGAAAGTGAAAAATAAAAACCTAAAAGTCCCATTTTACACACAGTGGAAAATACATGCCAACACACACAGCTTTATAATACAGCATCAAAAACATTAAGCTCATTAAGATTTATTCCACAGTTTGATTAAAATGGATTTAAAATTGATCCAAGTTTAGGAGAAGAGAGAAGCTGCCTCTTTCAGATCATTTGCAGTTCATTGAACCACCAGCAGCAGCGAAAAGCTGCTTTAACTAAGAAACATCTTTAGACCTGAGGAGTCCTGCCCAGATATACTGGATGAAGGTCACTCAGTTTGCTGGTGAAGATTCTCAGTCATCCAGGTCATAATCATTCCAAAAAACAATCCACTGAACTTTGTTTCAAAGTTTGAAGGCGTTTCGCTTCCCATTCCCATTCAAATTCAAAATGTCAGAATCAGCGATGAGTTCCAGGTTTTATAGAATGGACCAAAAAACACACCTTGTTTTTGCTTTGAAAAGGGGCGTTTCTGAAAGGGCCGTTGTTAAAGGGAATGGTTGACCTGGCTAAACAGGCGGGGTGCGTTGTGCCCCCGCATGGGGCTGGGGTCCTAACATCCCCCTTTCAGAGACACAGACAGGTATGGGGTATCGCATGCTAACTAAGAACCAAACGACCTCCATTCTAAAGGTGCGGACCCATTCGTCTGGTTCTATTTGCTTGTTTTCTAAACAAAAATAAAGCTTTACTGTATAAAACCTGGAACTCAACGCTATTTCTGACTTTTTGAATTGGAAAAACCTTCCTGGATGGGAAGAGAAACGCTTCAAACTTGGAAACAAAACTAGGGTGGATTGTTACGTTTTTTGGGAAGGTCATTCAGTGTTTTCTACAGGCTACAGTCGGGTCTGTTTGTTCAGCCTGGGGTCCAGTAGCCTGTATGAGGAGCAGAGTCTGATGGGGCTGCACTTCAGCCTGGTCTCACTTCAGGTTCTCCTACCTAAAGGAAGCTGCAGTATCTCTAAGCTCTCTGCAGGTTTAATGAACAAACACTCCCCCTACTGGCATCTTTTAGCGTTGCGGTGTAACACAGCAGCCATGTTAAAGTATTCACTCCTCTCTATTTATCACATTATAACCAAACTCATGTTTTTATTGAGATTTTCTGTGACAGAAACAAAGTAGTTCAGCACGGAAAGGAGAGGGATCAACATCTCTTAGAGGGTTTCCATTCATACAAATCTGAAAAGTGCGGTGTGCATCTGTATCAAGGCCCCGAGCCAGCCCTCTGCAGAACATCCTTTAGCTCTAGTGGCACCTAAAGGTCTGTTATCAAATGATTCTTCCATCTACGTTTAGGGGCTTCTATCTTTACGCGACTCTGACCCACTGAAGAAAAGCATTACCTCAGCATGATGCGGCCACCTCCATGCTTAACATGGTTTCAGGTGTTGCTGCTGCACATAGAATCAGTTCTGACCAAAACTCCTTATTTTATATGTTTGCAGTTTGCCAGCATCCATGCAGGGACCCAGCAAACAGGCCTTCTATGGGCTTTATTCAAGCTCTTCTAACCTAAAGATTATCACTGCAGCAGAGCAATGCTTCAATGATGCCCTTTGTGTCCAGAATTACAAAAAATATGTATTTTTCTTCACCTCCATAGATTTGTAGATGGTTCCAAACCGTTTTCAGGGATTCTGTTACTTCTGCCTCTGAAATGAAGCTCCACCTTTAAAGCGCTAACTAGTTGTTCTTCAGTGTTCTTTGAGGAGCCTCTAAAGCCAGAGCAGCAAAGGTGGCAGACATTTAGACAGCACTTCCTGATTAAGTGATTTTATTTGGGCTGATCAGAATAAAAAGGATTGAATCCATCTCACACTTCTCTGAAATGTTCTATTTCGTTCTGGCGCAGAAAATCTCAGTAATATTTTGATTAAAATAACCCGAAGTAAAATGGTTTGGGGTGTGAATAAACCCAGAGCTCTATAGCAGAGATCGGGGGGGTGAAAACCTTCACCCACCGTGACACAGAGCAGGTCAGACTGAGCGCTAAAGACGGGCGAGTTTGGCTCCGTCACCACGGAGACGGCAGCTCCCCAGCCGGACGAGGCAGCATGCAAATATCACGTTTGTTTATGAAAAACAAGGAGCCGAAGCGTCTGGCGGTTTGTTTTCATCAGCTGAAGGAAGCGGCTGGTTTTAAACGGCTGCATCACTCCGGCCAGCGGTGGTCAGAATGTATCGATTAGTCAGAAAACTCCCACCTGTGTTTCCAAGCTTTGAATGTAATATTTTCTCTGCCTCTCTTCCCAAACCACTCCTTCAACCCCCCTCCCCCCCTCCTTTGGTTGATTTATTTATACGCATCAATTTATTTCATCTGCATTTTCTGTTTTCATCCATGAAACTAAACTTTTGTTTTTGTTGTTTTCCATCTTCATCACATTCATCCAAAACCCTCTCTTCATCCTCCCTCTTATCATTTTCCTCTGACCCCCCCCTCTCCCCCAAACACAAACACCATTTCTCCCCCCCCCCAAACCCTTTCCTCCACCCCCGACCAGCCAAAACTCAGGACGGCATCGCGCTGGAGATCCAGCCGCTGAAGAGCGAGGAGGCCACCGAGTCGGAGGAGAAGGAGGAGGTCAAACAGGTGAAGAAGGTCAATGTGACCAAGAAGGAGAAGTCCGTGCTGCAAGGAAAACTGACCAGACTGGCTGTCCAGATCGGGAAGGCAGGTGAGGAGCGCACACCTACACAAACGCACGTTTGGCTGCAGATCGTAGGGCCGCTCAGAGGTTCCTAGAAACCAAAGAAAGCATCAATCTGATTGGCTAACAGTAAACCTGAACAAGGAGCTGCTGAATAAACAAGTTGGGCTTTTCCAGAAATGTGGGACTGAGCCTTTAAAAGGACGCCGAGCGGCAGCAGCTGATTGGACGCAGAGCCTGGGGGCCAAAATGCACTTAGTTTTATTAGATGGATTTTATTATTGGGAACGCGATTCATCCTGGAATTGAAGGTGTTTTCCGTCTCATTTCAATTGACCTTAATGCACCGTGGGCTTTCCAGGTCACTGTGGTGGTGGGGGGGTCATGTAATGCTCCTCGTTACATGACGGAAACAATTAGGCCGAGGGTCTGCTGATTGTATTTCCCGTTACGGTTCCTTTCAGGATCAAATGCACACGCTGAAAATCCTTTTTTCTTTTAAGTTCTCTCCACATTTACGTAAAAGACTGAAATAGTTTAGCTCTGTGATTCTCCATCACTCCTGACTGACCAAAAAAGGATGAAGGATAAGGTTTTAAATAACATCTGTCTGCTGCAGAATGCTTTCTGATGAGGAGCAGTAAACCTAAACTAGCAGTAAATCAGGGAAAGATGAATCATTTCCTTCTGGTTGAGGTGTCACTGCTTTATACAAGAAAATAGCTTTTGGATCATTTAGCTTTATTTAACATCCAGACAAATTAAATTAGGAGTTATAGGAAGACCCAATATGAAGCTAACTGGATCAAGATTGAATAAATACAAGATAATGATCAAACCAAGGTCTGTTTACTAATGACTTAATGAAATCAGAGGGGAAACAGATTCGACTCTGAAAAACTGCAGCTGGGGAGAAAGTTTATGAACCAGAAATGATACTTTGATAATGTTTTCTTTAAAGTTTAAAAAGATTGTCCAAAGTTTTCTGTTTTTCCCAGGAGGTTCAGAGGAAGGGGCTAAAGATCAAATCTAATTTAGTCAATCGTTCTTATTCTGTTTTTTTTATTGGTTTATGGAGGTAAGAGTTACCGGTAAGAGGTCAAAACTGACCCAAACACAACAAAAGTAACTATTTTGACTTTCATATATTGGGTTCTTCGATCCACCGACCTCCTTACCCCTGACGCCGGTTTCAGGAAGCAGGTTTAATGACACTGTGCAATATTTTCAATCGTTGCAGCTACACACTGTACGACGAAACTGCAGGGTTTAAAAGTTCCCAGCTCACGATGGATGTTCTCACACTGTGCGACCCGACGCTCTGATGCAATTAACTTGCTCACACTGTACGTCTAAAAACCACATGTTGGAATCTGCACCAAGAGATGGCGCTGGTTCAGACTGGTCAATCTGTAACAGAGTTCCCGTGGGTTCTTGTCAAATGACCTTTCTGCTCCATCACATCTGTCTCAGCTGCCGGGATGACCCGGCTGCAGTGGCTCTGTCCGTTCAGCTGACATTCCCAACAGAAGGCGGAACCGGTATCACCTGGTACTGCTGTTAGATGTCTGAAGCTGTCTTACTTTAGTTAGGAGCATCGGCTTCAGGCTCCAAATCCAAAGTACCGTATTTTCACGACCATAAGGCGCACCGTACTAAAAGGCGCAGTCTCAGTTATGTGT